GGGGGGGGGGGGGGGGGGGGGGGGGTTGCATTGTTTTACATATAGCCGATATGTGACAGATACTTGCAGATATTTTGCATGTCAGTCAGTTTAAGAGAGAGCGGATTTCCTGACTATATTGTTCTACCTCTTTTCTGTTTCTTTCTTACTGCTATTTTAGAATTGAGAAGTACGGCAAAATAAAACATTTTTCGCTTGGTATCGCGTGATCAGGTGAAAGAAAAGTGGATATCCTCCTCTTGTAATTAGGAAATACTTATCGCTCTTTTCACGTACAGTAAAACATACGCACGTTCACAAGATAATGACGCACACTATAGCTGTATCAAGTACTTGCAATGATAAAGTCCTTTTATAGATACCACATCTAACACACCGCTTGTAAATTATATATAACGATAACTATTGTAACTATTAGTAAAATTTACACTGTGAGGACCCAGTCGCTGGTGTCACACATATACGTTGTAGGGACTTTCCGTATTGTGAGCATCTGACACGGGTCTTCCCAATTAACTTTTCAATGATTTTATAGAGGAAATGCTCTGACTAATTCAGAAAGAAATTGTTTTTCTTATATTACACATGCATGGCATCGCTCTATATTTACCTTTCATCATAAAGATAACTATTGTACCTGCATGCATAAAATAACGTAAAAGTTCCACGTATTCTCATTACTGATTCCTCTGAGTTCTGAACGATGTCTGCAGTAATAGTAAGTGTAGTTAAGCTTACCTTTGGTCTGTTGTCAAAGAAAGTTTGTTCCTACTGTGCTCAAAGACTGCAAAATGGTGGGCTTGCTAACAATGAATTTAGAAAGCTAATTGTCAGTGAACTTGATGATATCAAGTGTAGACTGGATGCTCTTGGTCTCACAGAACTTGATAATGGGATCAGCTGCTTAAACCAAGGTGTAGAGCGTCTAAATTTGTCTTTTAGTGATTCAGTAGATGGTACTGGCCAATCGCAATTGGCAAACGCTTTTCAGAAACAATCAGAAGTTTCGTTGACATCGATGGGGACATCTAGTGAAGCTATGCCAGATATTGAAGAAGTACTTGCACTTGCTCACGTCGTCGGTACGCTGAAGAGTATTCCGAACAAACGATATGAGTTGGCCGAGGAATCTTTTAAAAATGCCGCAAGAGATGCGGGCAAGGCATTCCACAATCGCTCACTAAGCATAGAAGCGAGAATTCTTGCATGTCAAGTCCGTATCGCAAGCGGAATACTTCAACATTTGGCCGATCCTGATTTAGCAGCCTGTGACTGTCTGCAATATTTGAAAGAATTGCATAAGATTCCAGAAATATTCGAGATCTTTGATGTATACGCTAACGGAGGATTTAAATCGATTTTTAGTAGAGAAAGACGCGCTGAAATCGTAGAATCCGTCATTACGATCAATTTGTCTCTGCTTGATTTTATCACCACATTTGCAACCACCGAAAAACCATTAAGTATTTTCAAATGGCCACTGATAGAATGTGACGCGAATGTCTATCATCCAATTTATTATGAAGTCACTACTATGAAGAATGAGCTAACAAGCATAACACCGCCCTGGTGCATTAAAGTTCGTGACATGCTTCAATTTAGAAGTCTTTCTGCTGTAAACAGTAAAGGAGATATAATACTTTGTCCTGACCCTACTAAGTGTTTCCTTGCAAAATTCGACAGGGAAACGGGCAAGTTAGAGCAATTTAATATTCCTGCGTTGGACAAGGGAGAAGAAGAAGACATCAAATGCAACTAC